TTCCACATAGCACAAGTTGGATGGTTACATTACATGATCTTCCAATGCCTTTGCCCTTGTGTGCTTCCAGCATGTTCCTAAGCCTAGTAGGATACCACTATACATATCACAATCCACACTAAGGTCTTAAGGCCAACCTACCGGCACGCTTTTACTATTTAAAATAGAAGAACAATTTATTTTTAAATGCAAAAAATTAAAAATGAAACTCATGACATAAGAGAAGAGAAAGCATACTATGCCGCGATGGTCATAATTACTTCCAGCCGTCAGATATGAAATCATGTGGCTGGAATGTAGACAAGGCATGAAAAAGTTTTTTTTATTTTTCGATAGGAAAATATCTAACTGATTTTCTTGTGCCAAAAGTAAATTATCTCGTAATATGAAATCTTAAAAGGAAAATCTAACATCAATATGCTATTGTACTTTTTTTCCTAGGATATCAAGCTAGAGCCATCTATTCACAGGAGTCACCCCTATCAATAGTTTGTAATTGTATTTAGAATAAAGAAAATATTGTATCAGTTTTCAAGTACAAGATAATACTATTTACTTTGGTTAAAAAATGTCACAATCACTTTTAGTTGTTAGACTTGAAATTGAGTTAGCTGAATATGAGCCATTGAGCTATATTATAGGTTTGTGATACATTCTAGCAATGTGTACAAATTTTAGGGCCGACATTTAAGCCTTTAGAGGAATCTTTTGGCCAAGTTTGTTGGGCAAAACTTGCATAGCAATTGTGGACATAATCTAACTTTCGAAAATGAAGCATGATTTCGATATTGGAGTAAAAAGTTATACGAACACGAAGTCAAGGTATTGGAAAAGTATTTTGTGAGTCAGCAGACTCACTAGCCCAGTGACTCACAACGTTCATCTTTAAGATGAACCTCACAACTAAAAATTCCTATCCAATGGATAGGAAAAAAGAATTTAAAAATAAATATTATATTATCTTATTTTATTTTTTATATTCATGATCATCATAGTATAGATAATGGATCTCTACAAATTTGCATCCAAGATCTATATAAAAAATAGGTGTTAGAGGGAGCCCACGCGGGAATAGTATAAGTCGGGGGACTCATACAAACCGGGTTCAAGGTGCTTTCTCAGGCTTATTTTTAGAAAGAGTTTGTCTTTAACTTTATTTCAGAATGTATAAAATAATCAAAGCTTGAGTCCTATTTTAACTAGGAGTTCTAATTATTTTAGAATTGATATTAGGAAGTCTAAGTTAGGGTTTTTGGATGAGTTATTATTTAGAAATATTGTTTCCTCAAAACCTCATGAATTTTGCATAGCCATTGAAGCTAAGATTGTTAAATTTTAAAATACCTGATCGGTTTTTCTTTTAGAAATCTTAGTGTTTTTTTTTTTTGTAAGAATTTGCATCAATATAAAAACCAAAAAAGAAAAAAAAAAAATCTCGAACTTTGCGACACATTCCTAATCGTCAAATTTCACATCTCATGGCTAGCTTCTTTGTACCAGAGATAAATGGTCCCAAAGTATTCAATCCTTAATAATTTTGTGAATTTAAGGTGAAACATAGAGCTTATTTTTTCTGATAAAAACATACATTGATAACGATCGCATCAATTTCCACTGGGCTTCCTTAATTTATGCATGATTATATGCCAAAATGAAGGTCATACGTCTCTACTGAGGCATTATTATTTGCCAAAAGCAAGGTCATGCCTCTTGCATGTGTAAGAGAATATGCCTGACAGAGGAGTTCAATAGGGAATATGCCTTAAATAGACAAAGAAAGGAAAGTGACCAAATTGGAGGGACTACCATGTTCCGAGCAGCAAGTTGTAAGAAGGTGAGAAAAGATACGATCAAAGGTTTCCATATGAAAGGGGGAATAGTACAAGTAGGCAATCGATATTGATATTGGATAATTTTATTTTAATTTTCATTTCACCTAAGTTATTTTCTAAAAAGTACTCTAAAAAATTCAAATTACCCTTGTCCAAGGTTGGAAATGGGAATGGGACCCTTTAAACAACCAGTGGCATTTAATTCACTCACAACAAGCGTGATTACTCTTGTCATTTAGATGGGCCCACTTAGCTGGCTCAAATTACTAAACGCTTATGAGTTCCCAACCCTAAAAAAAATACAAGTTGAGCATTTTTTATGATAATTTTCAAGGAGGTACATAATAAAATAAAAATTAAAAAAATGTAAACATTGTAATGTCAACTGAGATGTTTAGATTGCGTAAATGAATAGTAAATAGTTATAACATCTTAATAAATATTTTCCCTAAATTTAAACATCTGGAGCCAATAGTAACCAAATTTGGAAAACACTACACCAAAACCTCAAGGACAATGAAGAAAGAGTGTTTGGGACATCATCGTCAGCATCGGAACACATGATGGAGGTGGATCCCACACTCTCCACCATTGTTTATCATCTCGATGAATGATGGTAGAACCAACGACAATATGTTTTACTAAAGGGTACTTCCCCCCTACTTCTTGGCGCTTAGAATCATGACTGATTGGATTTGTTTGATGGGTGTGGTTTCTATGACCTAGCAACCTTAAACAATCCAATTAAGGTGTACCTCCCAATTTTATCATGTAATTTTGCTGGTGTAATTTTTTTTTTACGATTATCTCAATATGTAATTTCAAATTTAATTATAAAATTTTAAACTAAAAAAATAGCTAAAATCAAGTAAATCTATAAACATACGAAAATCTTGAAAATGGAGGGTCTAGATAATGTGTTGCAAGGTGCATTATTTTTATTTTTATTTTTATTTTTTTCATATTCATACATCAAGATGATCAACATTAAAACAACCTCTCGGATAGATTTTTTAAATGCATATTTAATTCTACATTTTAAAGTTACAGCCTTATATAAACTTTTTTCCTTGTTTGAATTGATTTTAATAAAAATACAGATGAAGCATCCCGTTAGAGATGACAAGTGAAGCCCAGTAACCTTTCATTGGTGGCCCTTATACGGAAGTCTAAGCATGGTTTATATTTTAATAAAAGGGGAAATTTATCAAAATGCACTCAAATGTACCTCGATGGATTTTTTAAAATTAAATCAAAAGATATAAATAAAAAAGGATGGTATATAAAGAGATTATTTACCTCTAGTACAAAGAGATCACAATTACTTATAAAGTAGGGTTTGTATAGAGCCTAGGCTCTAAACAATCCAATTAGAGCTTACCTTCAAATAGTGTTGAGAAATGTAGTTTCAATACTATAAATCTTTGTGATAGCCTTAAACTACATTTTCATCTTTATTTATGAAGTTTAAAGCTTAAAAAATAGTGTTGATTGACAAATCTATGAAAACATGAAAATTGACGGTCCAAAAATGCGTTAGAAAATACACTATTTTCAAAACTTGAAATCCATTTTTTTCTCATGTCCAAGCATCTTGATTTCAAGATGATCAATTTGAGCATCAAAACAACCTCTTCTAATGAAAGATTTTAGGTAGACTCTAATTTGATTGTTTAGAGCCTTGGCTCTATATAAACTTCCCCTTATTTATAACCATCGTATGTGAAATCTAATGGCTTGGATGTGTCAAAAAATACGAAAAAGTTCTTTTGAATTTTGAGGTTGGTTGATGGAATAAATGCATCCACTCAATTTCACATCCAATGGCCAATATTAATTGGGACCACATTCTACCACAAGTAAATGATCGCATTGTATATTTCTTTAGTATATTTTGATAAATTTCCCCTAATTAATAAAATTAACTTAGATGGGCTCAACGTGAAAGAAACATGCAAACTAACATACTTTCTTAATATCAAAAAATAACATTGTAAACTACAAAGAAAATCAAACCCCAGAGGTCTTTGAGAAAAAATTTTACCTCTCCCCCCACCCCCCCTTTGCTGGGCCAAGTCATCTACTTTATCATTTACCAATCTCGGCTGTTTTTTTTTTTTTAAATATAATAATATTGGGAACGGAGGATGAGATGTTATATTGAGGCATTGGCCTCTCTACTCACTGAATTCTAACCCTAGGCGCATTTTCTTGGCTTCTTACCCTACGTGTTCTCACAGATAACAATAAGTTATTCACATATCCCAAGTAAGGTAGTCAACTGTAAAATTTGAAAGGGTTGGGTACAACAAACAAGTTGGGGAATTTGTTTTCTCAGCGCATCACAGACCTCCCACCATCTTATCAATATTTGACAGCTTATATTGCTTTTCACCTTGTACCAAAGCAAACCGTCTCATTGAATACTTTCCCTTTTTAAGTACATGTGCACGTGCACGTGCACGTGCACGTTAGAGAGTGTGGGAGAGCAACTCACTACAAATAAGCCACACACAGGTTCTTCAGCATCTTAATCGTCCAACATATAGCCACACACACACACAAGAGGATATTCAAATAATATTTTCCTTGTCCCAGCGAACTATCATCT